ACTTAGCATGATAACAAAGTGATTTACATTTGAAAGGCAGCAAGGTTTGTATCATAACAAGGTCAACCCTAGCCTCACTCCCATTCAAAGGCTTGGCAACCAAGCACACAACTGTAAAATGGACTATTGACAATACACCAGGCACACAGCCCAGACAAGGCAAGGTTAAGATTTGCTGTAACTTCATCAACAGATTTACCGATGACATAAAGGGTTGTGTCGTCTGCAAACGTGTAGACTGTACCTCTCTTAATCAAAGAAGGCATGTCATTGGTATATAGGGCAAAAAGGTGTGGCCCTAGTACTGACCCCTGTGGTACTCCCATTTAAGTGTATATCAAACATGTAAATAACTTTAAGTAATAAAGCTGGTTATGACCATGATAGCATGGAAACGAGTACATTTATGAAAACTACATTTATCATCATTTCTTTAATTATTACTTCATTTCCTAAGATTTTTCACTTGTTCATTTCATTACTATTAATTGGTATCCCACCTACAGTCCCAATTTTACCCCGATGTCACGAGCTTTACTGAGAAAAAAAAAACATGTTAACACATGATATTTTGTGATGTCCTCATTTTCATTATTCGACCACAAAAGTTCTTAAATAAATGCAACTTAACTTCCTTCAGATGACCCACACAGAACCCATTGGCAAGAAGGGCCTCTTAGTAAGCTTATGTGTGAACAAGTTTTCTGTAGCTCAGTGGTAGAGCACTCTGATGGCCATATCCAAATGTCATATCCTGTGTTATTAAAAACTGGATCATTGGATAATGCAATTCAAGACTTTTTATTGGCTTAGCCATTATGGTATATGGTATATGGTATATGGTATATGGTATATACCATAATCTAATATCTGTGCATTGTAACATCCGGTTTCTTCTAACAAAATAAAGTAGAGAAGATTTGTCTAATATCTTGGGGGAGCTTTTTTTAAATAAAACAATTATTCCACTCGCGCTTGTTGGATATGAGATGATTATAGCCAACTCGGCGCTACGAGCCTCGTTGGCTATCTATCATCTCATATCCAACGCGCGCTTGTGGAATAATTGTTAATTATTCCACTAATTTATTTGTGTTTTTCTCGTTGCCATGTTCCCACCAATCACACAGCTCCTTTTTCTGCCTTTAAAAGCACACACAACTCACAATTCCTCTATTCGCTCTGACGAAGGGCTAACACTCGAAACGTCAGCTTTTATAATCGTTACAGTGGCCAATTTACCATTTCAACTTTGATATATTCAAATTATATCCTGTGTTACACGAAGATGTTACCATTGTACATCTTGTCTTTCCTACATGACTTTGTTTACCACCCTAGGAAATATGGGAACTTCGCACATGCGAATGTAGTAGCATATTCTCAGAATGTATTAAACAGCTCGTGGTCGTGAAGTGTACTGTTGTAAGCTCGTGTATTGACAGTCCCAACACCAAACAAATAGAGTTTGTTTCGTTGAAGGCTACTTACATTTTCTCTGTCTCACACTATACTTACAACAGAACAAATAACTGTACAGATTTTACCAACTAAATAAATTTAGAAGTTGAACATCTTTTTTCATTCAACAGCCAAGCTCAAAATATCACCATATTTCCTGTTCTTTTTAGGCACACAGTGTTTAGAGCTTTTGACATTCCTGAAACTGGCAGTTTGCAGAATGCTTGTCACACAATCATAATAAATGTCCCAACTTACAAACAAATTCTTTGCAGTACAGTGGTGAAAAATCAGAAGTCTAAATGTCTGAAATTTGATTCCTTGTGAGAGACTCTTCATATCTTTCTTACTCTATTTACAAACACAACATTAAATTACTCAAAATAACCAGTAACTTTATCCTTGAGAAAAAAAAAATGCAATGTTGGGATGTGGAACAATGCATTTCTTAATTAAACATCATTTCCCCCAGAATTGTTTTTGCTCCATGTAAAGAAATCAACACCTTGTACTTCAGGAGGTAAATAAATCTGATCAACAGGTCCATTAAATGCAGGATTATACTTGTATCCTGCACTGTAACCCAAACTTTTCATCAGTTTAGTTGGAGCATTTCTGATGTGCAAGGGCACTGTTGGCTGAGGACCCTCCCAACCGCACACATACTTCTTGGCCTCATTGTATGCATTATATATTTCGATGGATTTTGGAGCTCTTGAAAGGTAAACAACAGCTTGAGCCAATATAACCTGTGTAAGGATATAAAATAACATCAAAATCAAATCATAAATCATGAAGAAGATAATGAGTTGGGGTTTCAATGAAAGCCAGTTACTGGCAGTCTACTGCTGCTTCAAGACCTTTCACCATGTATGTATGTATGTATGTATGTATGTATGAATTTAAAAAATTTAGACTGGTTCAGCTTGGAGCTGGTTTAAATGGGGGCCTGTGTAAACAATAAGGCCAAACCACAACACTTGGAACTATGTTTCCTACTCTATGTGAGAAGTGCATGGGTTCTTTAACATCCCCTGCTGACCATCACATAGAAGATGCGGAAGATGGGGCGTATGGTTTATTGCCCTTATCCGTCCTTCTCTGACACTAATGTCAGTGCGAGACTCCTTGCATTGCTTGAGGCCTCATACCTTCCAGCAGGCAAAGAAAGTATTGTGCTGAAGTGCTGAAGTGCTGACAATGAGAGGCTGCTTACATACTCAGATTGAATTTAGTTTTGCATCTGATTGTGAGGCAGATATTCTAAACCACTCAGAGAACACAATCACGTGAGACCAATGTAGCTCCTGATTACTTTTTGTCACTCAGTTAAAATAATACCATTCAATGTTTCTGTACACAAAACTTACATCACACTCTGGCATTCCTATAAAATGGCAGGCTTGATAAGCAGCCACAGCTTGGTTCAAGGCCTGTGGATCTGCTAGACCTACAGATGAGGGTTAAAAATATGATATAGAAATTGAGCATTTTGATTGTCAGGAGTATTGTGAAAGGTGAATTATTGATAACTATGCTTTAATTTACAGGAAGGAATACTGGTAACCTCGCTTACCCATGTTAGAACCTCAGTGCAGAGGTGTTGTTTTGTTCAATCAAATATACTTCCTCCTTGTGAGAAGGGTATTAAATGATCATTCACATCATTTCTACTTTTTAAATTGAAGAGGCATTACTAAAATTAAACCACAAACAAATCCTCAATCTTGTGGTACATTAAAAAATAAACCACTCACCAACATCTTCACTGGCAAATCTCACCAATCTGCGGGCAACATAGAGAGGGTCTTCTCCTCCAACAAGCATTCTGGCCAGCCAGTACAAAGCTGCATTTTCATCACTCCCCCTTATTGATTTGTGTAGGGCTGAAATGATGTTATAATGTTCTTCACCATTCCTATCATAGAGCAAATGAGTCTTTTGAAGACCTTCTTTGATGTGAGATACATTAATATAAACAACTTGTTCTTCATAGTCTCCTTGGGAATCAGCATCTCTGTTGGGTGAACTGTTTTGTTGCAATAATGGAGAGCTCTTTAGTTCTTTTGTGTCTTGTCTCTTTGGTTTTTGTTTTACTGCCGCCACTTGTGACTGAATTGCAAGTTGAAGACCATTGAGGGCAATCCTTGCATCGCCATCACACAAGTTGGCTAGAGTTGTGATAGCTTTTTCTTCAATAACCACAACCAAATCACCACTATCAGCAAAAAAAAAAAAAAAGAAAAAGAAAAGAAAAAAAAAGAAAATAATGGCATTATGATTCACAAGTTGAAGAAAAATAAAAAAGAACAAAGTAAATTCTTAAAGATACATTCTGTGATGTGTGTGAGGCACTTATTTGAATAGTTTGTGTTTTATCCATTCAGAGAAATACCTAATGATTGTACCTCCTTTCTAAGGAAGCAGCAGATTGCTAAATTTGTACATATTTGTAGGTAATGAAATGACTCACTCTGATGAGACATGTCTCTTGTTTGTTTCAGGTGAGTCCCTTGAACCAACTAGCATTCCAAGAGAGTTCACAGCATTTCTTAATATTTGTTCCACATGATCTACAGTAAGCTTCTCTAGGACAATAACTCTACAGCGACTAAGAAGTGCATTGTTAAGCTGGAATGAAGGATTCTCTGTAGTTGCTCCGATCAATGTAATGGTACCATTTTCAACATGTGGAAGAAATGTGTCCTTCAAAATAAAAAGGTGTATCCATTGAATATCACTTAATGCATTATTGGATTTCATTTAACTCTTGAGCACCAGTATCTGGTAATGTCTTTACCTTACCATGGAGGATCTTAATGTTCCCCCTCCCCCTCCCTCCCTCTCCAGTTTCATTTTTTTTTTTTTTGATGCTACCTGCCTTCCCAAAAAAAGTGTTGGCTCAAGACCTCTTCACCTCTCTTAAAAAAAGATACCTGCACTTAGAGACTTAAAGTTTGAGGTGAGTGGCCTAAAACATTGTATCTGTTGCGGCACATTGAAATGGGCCTGAGGACCTTCTTTTTGTGAGGGGGGGGGGTTTGTACATCCTCTAGCTGAAACATTTGAAAAATTAGACTCTGTAGTTCTGTAGTTCTGTAAGGTGTACTCTGGGGCTGTCTTTTTAGAAGCAAATGAATGTCACTTTCAAGCAATGATAAAACCATTTAAATTAATCTTGCTTGCAAGGACCTCATTTTCCAGCTAAGCAGGTAATGATTCCCACCCCCCTTAAAATATACACTTTTCTCTGCTTCCTTTCTTGTCGGGCTACAGTAAATCTTCACAGACATGATAGAGGTATATTTCATGAACCTTTTTAAATGTAGGGGGTTTCAAAAACCAAGATGCATGAGTTATGTTCAGTACTGGACAATGTTTCTTGCACAATAACATTTTTGGTAAAATATCATGAATTTTCTTGTGATATCAGAAGAACATGAGCCAAAGTTTGAAAAAAAATTCCGAACCTTACTGGCATAACAGTGAATACTGGTGATGGATTTCCTTTTTCTATCACAGTTAACCCTTTACACCCTAACATCAATAAGCATATTCTCCATACCATTCTCTGTTTCCTAGGGTGCCGACAAGGAGAATTTGTTTAACAGTCAAGAGCTTCAATCTTTAGTTGGCCATAGTTTCCTTTATTCTAGTGACATAAATTTTAGATTCAGGGGTGATGTTATAGAGATAAATAAGATGCTAGTTACTCTTAGAGATCAAAGGGATAATGAGGATAATTCTGAGGATCGATTGTTTCAAATAACATCCAAATATGTTGTATTATTACACGACTCGGGCAGTCACAGGGCCTATAACTAAAATCAACCAATCAAAATGCTCTATTGCTGGTCAATATTCTCTCAGTATTGGACCGGGCACTGTCCCGAATGGTCCGGAATGATACCGCACTTGCGTCCCTTTGAACTTCAGTCGTATAATCTCTTATTAACCAAGCTTGCTCGGGACCGTACTGGAAGAATATCGGCCCTCGGTCTTTTTTGTACGGACCTCGCTGCGCTCGGTCCGTACTGTCAAGACCTTGGGCCAATATTCTCCCAGTACGGCCCTTGTGCTTGGTTAATAAGATATATATACATACATACTTGCTGCAGCTTATTGAATCTGTGTATCTCATCCACAAACAAGATTGTCTTGCGCTTGAACATTTGCTGTTCATTCCTAGCCACTTTAACAACTTCCTTGACGTCATTTATACCACTGGTGGTAGCAGACAATTGCACAAATCTTGCCTTGCCATTGATTCTGGCAGAATTGGCTATAATGTGAGCCAAGGTGGTCTGAAAATATCAGAACAGGCCCAAACAGCACTGTTAGGAATGAAAGGGATCTAATGGGATACGATGAAAGGGATCTAATGGGATAACATGAAAGGGATCTAATGGGATAAGATGAAAGGGATCTAATGGGATAAGATGAAAGGGATCTAATGGGATAAGATGAAAGGGATCTAATGGGATAAGATGAAAGTGTAATGAGACAGATTTGGAATGCTGAGGATTGATAGGGGGTATCCCATCAAGGAAGTATATAGAAAATGCTACAAGAAATCCACCAAAGCACCAACCCCAGGGAGGGAGGGAGAGAAGGGGGAACTCTCTAAACCTTTTAAAACATCTCACAGCTTCTAGTTTTATTGAAGACTTTGAGGCAACCCCATAAAGCGTTTTAACTCCCTCCTAGCTGCAGTGAAATCCTGCCCGGACTTTAATACCTTTCCAAAAGAAACTTATAAAATTTTGAAAGCTGCAGTAGATATTTTGTAGAGATATGCATGTATATATTATTGTAAGTAATGCTGATTTATACCCAATTTTATTTTTGTAGAATAGATGTTGAGCCATTTTACCCATGGAAATGCTGTTAATGAACTGTTATTATTATTATTATCAATATCATTATTATTATTAACCACACCGTGATAAGGAGAACCGTTCAGATTCTGCACTTGGGATTAAATGAACAATATGATTGAACCCATTAATTTGCGCCTCAAGAGAATTACATTTTTATGAGGTTAATGAGCTCATACTGATAGATTGTGCAGCATTCAGCTTTGATATTACTAGTTTGATAATTTAAGATTGATGATGTAAGGATTTTTCACAACTTTTCCATCACTTGGTGGGAAGGATAAGTAGATCAGCGATTTTAATCTTGGTATAAGTGATCCCCTTTAAGATTATCAGAGAGGGTGGATAGCTTTCTCCCTTTTTTCCACAAGTTTACTCATGGGATAAGCCAGTCAAAGATCTAATCTTGATACACAAGGTCTGGTTTGGGTTCTCATTTGAAAATGTAATGTAACAAGATTAGGATACAAAATACATAGGAGTGTATTCAACAGCGATGAAATGGAAGACCAGGAGAAGGTACCATCTTTACTTTAGAGTGTAAACCCCTCCTTACCCCCATCATTCCTTCTCTGTCATTGTAGAGAGGGTTCCATCTCTGTCCCATCTGCCCCCCCCAGCGCACTTCCAGCACATTTTCAGTGTGCGGTTTTTCTTGAAATACCTTTCCACAGCCAGGGGGTCCCCAAAAGATCATGGATGGAATTTCATCAGCCTCCAGTAAAGTCCTCAATAGACTGTTGTCTCCAAGAACCTGGGACTGGCCGACATAGTCTGCCAATGTTTTGGGCCGCATTCTCTCAGTTAATGGAGTAAATTGACTGCTTCTCGATTTTTCCTCTTTTTTGTTTCCTATGCCTTTCTTTTTGTCAAGAGTTGGTGAATCTGAGTGTTGGAGAGAAAGGGGCTCCTTTGTTACTGAAGAGGAGTGTCCTCTATTTTGCGATTCTTGACCATTTTTGTGCAACTTTAACCTCTTCAAAGGGGAATCTGTACTTGATTTTCCCGCCAAACTGGAAGAGTTCCTTTTCAAAGCGTTTGTCGGAGGACTAGTATTACTAAACCAGCTGTTGGAGGCGTTTTCATTTTTTGTACCCTCTTTCATTGTTGAGCTATCCGAAGATTTAGTTTTCCCTTTGAGAAAACTGATTCCCGAGACGTCCTTTTCATGTTGACCACTGCCTCCATTGCTTTGCAATCCAGCATCTTGACTGTTCAGACACTTATTTACGTGCTCGTTCACATACGAAGCCGCAAACGAGCGCCCACAAACTGGACAATCTACACTACCAGTTTGCAACATACTTCATCACCTCTATACCTTGAAGCAAGCAGAAGAAATCAGTTACAACACTGGGTTTTATCCATTAGATCTCACTTCTTAGGGGGTGGTAGAAAGATAAAATTGTGTCGCCCTTTACCTAAATGACGTCATCATCTGTCTTCACCAAACATGGCTGCCGGCTTTAGGAGTTATGTTTGGGATCCGTGCCTTATCATTTCGCAAATTGTCGCTGTCCAAAGCGTGTATTATGTATTCTTAGCTTTCTGGGTTGCATTCGTGGACTTTTCGACGGGAAATTCGCGGTCACTGGACCAGTTTTTTAGTGAAGAGGTAAGATACCTTGTTCCCCTCTTGATCATTTGTGTCCTTCAGCAGCATATTTTTAATCAAAAATACTTATTTCCCACAGGATATTCAATATACCTCATCTAGGGGGAAGATAACGATGGTGGCTTTTTGTCTGAACACGCTAACTGGGTCAGTGAACAGTTTTCCTAGATGGCCGACCTTAGCTTTAACCTTTATAACCGTTTATTGTTAACAAATTAAAAATAGTATACTTTAGTAGACGAATAAATTTTGATTTGTTTCTCAATTAAGGCGCAATCAGAACGGCGGTCATTATTAATTATTCTTTCACCCGTCGACTTCTGAGTTATTGCTCGCTATCTATAAACAGTTTATAGACAAAACATGCCTGTCAAGGGATTCTAATAGCTAATTTTACTTTGGTTTCGTTTGAAAAGAATGTCAATTCACTGCACCATCATTCTACTGCCTCTCTATTTAGGCTGTGTCGGAATACTCAGCAGCTTTACTTGTATAGCTTATCAGTCGTTTCGTACTCATAGATGTTTCGTACAAATCAACTTAGTATGAAACGTCTGTGGTATGAAAAACTAGATACCCTGGTCTATGATGGGTTTATTGTTATTTCCCTTTGCGTTGGGTATGGTTACGTACAGTGATGAGTTCAAAAGAAAAGGGTAATAATATTTGAACCAAGGATAAATCTCAACCACCAGGTATATTTTTAAATAGGGCTGGTGGATTGTGGGCAATTGTTAGGAGAGCAAAGCAAGTAAGTGAATTTTTATCTTCAAATTCAGATATTTCAACAGCTTTAAGGCAATTGTGTTATTAGCAGTGCTTTCAATAAGACCCGGCACCTGCCGGAGCTCCAGTGGATATTCTGTTGTGAGTCGCCGGGTATATTTCACTGCACTCAAGTTGCAGTCACCACGCTAAGTTGCAATCAAGTCACTATCCGGCGCTTGTTGTACCAAGGTAGCCACCTATTTCAAATCTTATTGAAAGCACCGAATTAGTAGAAGTTTATAAAAAGACCTTTGGTTTTTTTTACTGTTCCTTTGAATCCCTGGAGTAGACGGCTGTAAGCATTTGTTTTTAACTACAAAAAAATTGTTTTGTTCACAAATTTCACCAAAAGACAATTATTTGATCACTGATTGGATTGCCATAATAGAATTGTGGGTCACTGAACTCATTTGTTAGTTCCAGTTACACATAAGGATGTTTCCAAGATGATTTTGTTGATACCAGTTTCAAGTCACAAAATATGTGGTGGTATTGCTGTGTCTAATAAGTAGTGTTTGTGGATTATTGAAACCATTTTAAATGACTAGTTTAGCAATACTTCTAAATTCTCCAGGGTTAGAAATAAAGTTAGGCTATGAGCTCAGGCACACTGTCCAAAGATGTTTGGCTCCACCAAAAATATCGCCAAAATTTGTCATTGGTGGGCTTACTCAAGAACAGCCAAATATTTGTTAGCCACAAAGTGTCAATTGCATGGATGTACAAAATGAATAGTACTTGGACCTGGAGATTCAGCTTAAATGTAAACTTAAAGTGCCTATGACATCAACATGATTTTCACTCCAAATAAAAATATAGTATCTCTATTATACATCTACCGAAAACAAAGTCTGTCTAAAATGTTTTTACCCCTAAAATTGTAGCTCAAAGTTGGCCTTCTTTCGATCAAATAGTGGTCGGAGACTGGGATCGAGTTTCTTTGTCGGTATGACTTCATCTTGTGTACCCATAAGTTTTTTAGCCACTCATTGCAGCATAGTTACGACCAGAGAAAACAACTCACAATATCTTCCTCCTTTTACCTTCCTTCTCTTACTCTGTGTTGTGTTTTCCGCCATGATGCTTTGAATTCCAGTAAGCTGTGGTACACAAGATGATGTCATGAGGCCTGTTTTGGCCGTGCAATTTGATACCACTTTTTACTAAGAAAATTGTCAAATTCAGAGAGCTATAAACTCTTCAATTTTTATTATTTGCGGATGAAATTTTTTCTTATTGCTTTTTAAGACTTGTAGTTTTTATTTAAGTTAAAATACCATTGGTGTCATAAGCACTTTAAGCTTACATCTTCACTGTTTGATTGCCACACTAAAATAACATATTTGTGCAACAGCCTTCTGTCTGAAAGACTTGCATTTAAAATGAGAGATCAATCTTCTTGATTGACATTTTCCTTTAGATTGTGGCTGGTAAATTGAAAAATCTGTTAGATTTCCTGCTTGACACATATTTGTCCTACTTGATCTTTTTATATCTCTAGTGTCTGGATTTTGCTGCTACTGCACATCTTATACACTTGGTCAACTGCTCTATTTATGAAGGTTTTCCAACATCAGCTAGCTGGTGGTTCTTGAACTTAACATGCATGGCCTTGATGGCTGTGATAGGCGAATTTGTTTGTATGAGAACTGAGCTCAAGGCTATTCCTGTTACTGTTTCTTCTGTCAAGTCTTCAGTTTGACATCTAACTGGATTTAGTTTCATTTGTTGGTTGGAAATGGGTAAGCAAACTGATGAGCTCCTTGCAAAGCAAGTGCTTGGACAGTCCATTTCAAGTGGTTGTACTTGGGTACCTACATGGAAGATGTTAAGGTCCAGTGTAATCTGAAGTACACATCTTTTCATGGCAGAGAACAATGGGGACACAGACCTGAAGTCTACACATATTCAAATTCTTACTGGGTGTTGACACAGAAAACTTAATATGTTCCAGCAAGGGACATTTCAATTGATGAATAAGACCAGAGCAAATCATACAATCTGAACATACACACATATGTATACATAGAAATATCTATACCATATTGTTTCAAGAGTGAATAATCCTGTATGCTGGATAAATCTTGCTCTGCTGAATAGTGCAGTATGTTTTGTTGACACTTTTCTTGTTGGATAGCTTTAGCACCCTTTGAAAAACTGGCTCTGCTAAATATACATCAAGATTATGGTTAATTGTCAGTACTCGTCACAATTACGTTGCATATGAGACACAGTGCACTCAGTCTCAAACCTATTTTCATTCATGATTGAAATGTGTTTTGGACAAACAGTTGGATTAAGCCCATCATAGTTAATATTGATAGATAATAGCTGGTATATATTAATTTTTTAGAATATGTTTAAATCTACTTTCTCCTGTGTTTCTCATGAGTTCATTCCTAATTCATCATAGTTTTATATTGATTATTTTTTCACTTTATTTCTTTAATTTGTACTACTCTAGTAATTGTCATGCATTTTATACGTAAGCCTCTGGCTTCGATGTAAGGGCGACCTTCTCCAATGTCATGACACTAATGGATTGATTGATTGATTGATTGAAGTAACTGGGAGGATAGAGAAATAATGGTACATTTTGTCTCCTTATTACCTTAATGTTACTGTTTGTTTAATTATATTGAGTGATATTGCATTTATTGTGTGCAGGAAAACTCATTGGGTAAATGGTCCACATTACATCGTTTGGAAGTGGGCTAGAGAACTGGGGTTGAGTTCTTGAAGTCAGGGCTTCAAGATAAACTTAACAAGAGAAATATTGTGAAAGATGGACTTGCCTATTTTTAATGTTGTTTTTAGACATTTCCATGTACAGAAAATTTGTAAGGTTGGGTTTGGATTGAATACTTGGGTATTAATACGCAAAAGATTATTTTAATGAACAGGGTTTTTACTCTGAGCAAGGTGCAGCAAATTACAGTGCAGATGTTTGATATATTGACCAAAGCACTCGATTATAATTTATATACAGGTTTTATGTCTTTCATCCATGTGGAAGAGCTATTTATTGATAATTGTGATTTTCAGAAGACACTTTTAAGAAAGTACACTTTAGAAACCAGACAGTATAATTTTTATCTCCACCTTTAAAATGGACAGAAATATGAAAACGGAATACAGCCAAACCTTGATTGTCCTGACCTCGATTGTCTGGACTGGCTTCTTTGGTCCCATTTTTTCATGAATGTTAACTACTCACATTCAAGATCTGTAACAACTTTCTCCCATCAAACCAAGCAGACGTGCTGAATCAGTGTTAATGCTGTTCTATCAATGCAGCTTCGGTGTAAATATGTTTGTCTAACTTTGGCAGTGATGCACAATTATTTGAGAACACCCTGTAATTCTTGCATAATAGTGATAAAATGGTACATATTCAGTCTTATTTCTGGCTCATTGATATTCGAATATTTTTGATTGGCTGGACTCTTGATTATCTGGATTATTCAACCTAGTATCCACGGATCCAGATAATCAAGGTTTGACTGTGTGTACCCTGGAGGGTAAGATGATGGAGATGAAAACTACATGGATTCTAGAACATACTTTTCCTTTAAGATTGAAATGAAATAGTTTAAAATGAATTGGAGAACTTATTTGAAAAATCCAACAAAGTACATTTAGTAAAGCAATTGTGTTCTGGGTCCTGTTATAGAAGAAAAAATTTTTCTTGAGAAAAGGTAAACCAATTTACGAAATACTATGAAATTGTGGCATGCTTTAGAGAGTGATGTTTCTAAACCATTTTCCATAAAACAGTTTAAAGGCTGCTTTACACACATAATGACTGTCAATTGCAAATTGGGAGATAATTAATACAAGCATTTGTGTTCAATTAGAGTCAAGTAACTTCCAATCATCATGCTTCTCCTCCTTCCTTCTGATAAAGAAAAATTTTCATGTTTTATCAAGCGAGATACAACTCAAAGCTGTTACAACAATTCGATATTCTTGTGATCTATTTGGTGAAGAACAAATTTATATTTAGATGAAAAGTTACATAGAATCACCTCTGTGCAATAAAAAGTTAGTTTTTTTTCTCCAAGTATTAAAATCTTGATCTATTCACTCTCCCTTGCAACATGAAGCCAAGCTCTATCATACAGTTTACTTTCTCTCTTAATTTGTAAATTAGTTAATTAAACTATTATTCTTTAAACTAGTTTACAATGAAGTGCTTAGCAGTGCAAAGGAGGGTTGTTAGACAGATTTTGGGAAATTTTGTTGATTGAGTGAAAGGGCTGGATAGGTAAATATTTCACTCAAGCTCATAACTAATGGATCTAGCCCAGCAGAGTTCATGTGACACAATAAAGACCCAAGAATTCTTCTGTCAGGCCCAACCTCACTCAATCATTCAGCATTTTATTAAATGTTGGCAGTGACTGTCACCCTTTCTTTTTATTCCTTCCTTTCTTTGGCTTACATCTTGCAGAAACTTTTCAGGTCCTGCCCACATCATCACCTATTGCTCCCCCCCCACTGGGATTTTTGTCTATTTGTTTACAATTTATTATACACTTCACATCACAATGTTCTTCGAGGTGTCAATTTTACTGAAACTATTAAACAAGAAAATTTTCATCATTTCAGCACATCACAAAATAGTACTCATCTAATAATAACTTCTTCAAGACTCCCTTCACACAAATATTACAAAATCTTACCACCAAAGAACGATCTTTTTTTCTAAATACAAACATAATTATAAATACAAATTTATAAATACAAATTTCCATATTTTACTTTAAAAATATCTATAGGTTAACATCCACATCTTTACAAACACTGAGGTAAATACTTGTTTTGACATATACCACATAAAAAAACCATAAAAATAGTTTATTTCTGTCATTGTACCAAAAAATCGATAAATATTTAACTCTTGACAGACCATTTTGTCTCTTTCACTGCGTGGAGGTAAACAGAACTTGCTGATCACTTCCCCAATAGCTAAAAACGTGCAAAAAGCACTATTCAACTGTGTGGTATACACTAATTAACAGTAATTAATTTTCACTATGCTAGTTAAAATAATTTATAATTGCACCAGCTCCCCCAAAATACTTTTCTTATCCCTGGAAAGATAATTACAGAGAAAGCTAAGAAAGTTGATGGTAAAAAAACATTAACCTAGGATAATAACTAAACCACCATTTATAGCTTTTGTTTAATTTCTTTTCAGTCAAATCTTTTTTGTTTTATTTTCCCAACAAAGAATGTTAAGACATAGCCATAAACTCTTAATTTATCCCAATAAAATTATGATGAGTCGTGCATCAAAGAGAGACTTGAGTGATTTTGCATACATTTTCACAAGCAATCTGCTATTTCTGCATTTAAGTCAACAACAAAAAATAAACATTTAATAATTTGCAGGGGTTTCTCCATCTGCAAGAATAAAAGAACACAGCATATCATCTCAGTACCATGTATACAAAAACCACCTTAAAAAATGCATTATGTTACATCATGTAGATCATTACACCTGTAGAAAGAGTAGACTCGTAGGAAAAGAAGACCAAAAGGATCAGAAAATCCCTGAAATAAGAATTTGATTATATCAATTAGGTTGAAATTGTAAATTGGCCACCGTAATGAGTTAAAAAAGGTGACACTTTGAGCATTACCCCTTTGTCAAAACATCAGCTTTTTAACTCTTTAACAGTGGCCAATTTACAATTTCAACTTAGTTGATATAACCAAATTACCTTGTTACTCCAATGACACAGCACCACAGTTTCTAATTAGAAACTTACCCCCTTTATTCATGAAATAAGAAGACAAGCAGGATAAGAGTTATTGGGGATTGAGATGAAATACACGATGAGAGCGAGACACCTGTTAGTTACTAGGAGTTATTGTTTTCAAGTCTCCTTGTCACTAGTGATGATATCTGATGAACTTTTATCAACAGAGATAAAATGTATATGTGAACGATCCTTCGCAGTAAAGCACTATTTGAGCAATAGTGAAAATCAGACCTGAAAAAAATTTCAGGCCTGTACGGGATTCCAACCACTGACCTCTGCGATACTAGTGCAGCGCTCTACCAATTGAGCTAACAAGCCAACTGGGAGCAGGCCATCAAATTAATTCGACATAAACCCGTAGATGATAAATCAAACAACAACAAACATATAGAGATAAAATGTTTTTCATAATTTTGTATTCTTAGTTTATAATCAAACAACAACAAACATATAGAGATAAAATGTTTTTCATAATTTTGTATTCTTAGTTTATAATGTTTGAACAACAACAACAACAAAAAAAAGGAATGGAACTCTTTCATAAAGTATGCCTTCTTAAATTAAAGCAATATTACATAATCATAAGTTTATTACATACCTGAGTTTTTTATAGTTTTATCAGCACCTTGATCGATAAGGAATGTTTTAATTTTACCCTTTAAAACAAAAAAACAAAATACCATCACAATTAAGAAAATCCTGCTTAACCATTTTTTATGGCAGAATGTACAGTATACACAATCATCTAACTTTTTCTCCTAATTTAAATACTAACAATAATTTAAATACAAAACAGTATCTGACCAATCAGTTCACAATTTCTGTAATGAGTGATATTTTTTAAAAGAGAATATTGTAACTTCACTTCTGTAGCTATCAATCTTTTGCTTTACTCGCGGCTTCTCACCTGTTCATGTTCACAAGCAATATGTAATGCTGTATTCCCAATCAGGTCTTGCCTGTTGATCTGGAGGTAGACATTAGGGTATCAAATTCAATTTTATAGAAAAATTAAGCAAACAACTAGTAAAAAGTAAAGTCTGTTTACGAGCCTAGTGGCCCATTAGGCTGGTGCTTAACTCCGGTTTCTGTAGCATGAAGCAACTAGGAGTATTTCTACTTCCCCCTGGATGGGATGCTAGTCCATCACAGGGTTACTCCCAGCATTAAATTGCTGGTACCCAGTTATACACCTGGGTGGAGAGAGGCACTGTGAGAATAAATTGTCTTGCCTAAGAACGCAACACAATGTCCTGGCCAGTACCCAGTTATACACCTGGGTGGAGAGAGGCACCGTGAGAGTAAATTGTCTTGCCTAAGAACACAACACAATGTCCCGGCCGGGGCACGAACCCGGACCACTCGATCCGAGCGCACTGACCATGAGGCCACCACGCCTCCACAAGCAAACAATTAATGACCCTCAATTTATAAAGGGCAAAGGTACGTGAAGAGCTGACAGTCAATTTGATTGACTGACTGTGTGATTTCTTGATTCAATTGACTAATCAAATAAAGGAATGCCAGATTAAAGGATTTATTGACTAACCAATTGGCTAGGTGAGTGACAGTCATAATGACCAACCGACTGGTTGACTGATGGACTGACTGATGGAATGATGGACTGATTGACTGACTGATAGAATAATTGACTGATTGGCCAATTCAAATTATAATAACTCAACTGGAGATGATCAACTTCCCCACAACAAATTGTCTGTTGTCAACAGTTCAGGCAAGTTTCACCTAATTTACCTCTGCTCCATGCTCTAAAAGAACCCTGGCAGCATCAGTTGATCCATATTCTGCTGCACCATGGAGAGGGACCCCCTAAACCAACAAGACAAATCATAGGAATTTCCTCTCATACAAACTTAAAACTATCTGGTTGAAAATGTTATCAAACAATAGCCCATTTCCAAATTACCTTTAGCCTCTTTTTCAAAGCGAGTCCTGGTGCTCATCCTTTCGTATGGTGATAAGTTTTCATTCACATGCAAATTAAACTCATTTTCATACAATATGGTTGAGCACCAGGCCCATTGGTTTGTGTCAGCTGTGATACGAAGTACTTGGAAAGTTTGGGGAGCACCCAAGAAACTTGATCTGATCATGGATGCACCTCAAGCAAATCCTATGTGTCTTGCAAGCTCTCCAAACTTCCTGCATGTTTTACATCCCTATGACTGTACACTGATACATGAACCATACTGTTAAATATACCAAAAAATTATAAATATTATTCGTAATTATGTAAAACCTTTGAATCCCTGGCCTGTAAATTCAACCATTAATGTTTATTTCATAAATTTATTTCAACATGGGTTTAGGGTTAGGGTTAGCATATTCACTGATTTGCTTCACTGGGTCTAACTCATCAGCTGACAAAAAATAATTATATGGATTAAAATGATCATAACTGTTTGGACCTATTATAGATTATTTAAAATTTAATACAGAAAATGACAAGTTCAATGAAGATCAAAATGCATGGGTAGACAAAAAAAAAAAAAACTGTAAAAAAAACACTTCCCTGTTTCCAATTTCTATCCTCATTTACTAACATTTTTAAGCGTACAGGCTTCACTTCAAATGACCAACATTACCCATCATTTCTTAATAAACCCTTAAACTTTTAATTATTACTAAAGAGAAAAGACCAAATCCTTCACACTGATGACCTGGAGTAACGTATACTTGATATAATTGGTTTAGGAATAAACAATGTACTAAATGCTTTATACAAAAACCTGTAATATTTCATCTTTGACATTTGGATCCATTTTTCCATCAGTCAGCAAGTACTTGACCACCTTCAAACAATTACATTTTCATCTTCATTATCACTATCATAATTGTCATTATCATTATTACTCTCAAAGTAAATGTCACTGTGTCATAATTAATTACCATTACTGTAAAAGGATTAACAGAATATAATTCAGTATCATTAACATCGTCTCTTCGTCATTGTCACTGTCTTTGTCTTGACATCAGGTAAATTACACGATAAAAGTGCTTGAATACAACTTTTTGTAGGTGAAACAAGACCATAAAATGTTATTTCTCCTTTAGATATGCCCAGCAATAGTAATATAGAGGGAAGCTTTATGCTGGAAAACAGAATTAAAAGAAGCAGATTATTTTGCAGATTTTCTGATACAGCTCAATTTCAAATACCTTGACTGCATTTCGCTCTGCTCCAAGATGAAGAATGGTTTTGTTATCCTGACAGCGGGTAAATCTGATGTTCTTCTCTTTGCGAAGATTTTCCACCTATAACACTCAACAAGATTGGACAATTAGAAACTCGCCTACCTATCATCTGCATAAAATTTTACTGAAAACAAAAATGTTACATTGGCTTGTTCTAAGTACCACATCAATGTCATCTGCTTTTACTGCCTCCCACAAATCCCAGTACTCATCCTCTGTTGCCATATCTGGTCCCTGGAAAGATTTAATAACAAAATATAAAATCAATTACTCTCAGCTATTACAAGTCAAGACAAAGTGCATTTATAGAATAATACAGTTTAACCTGAATTGTCCTGATCACAAAGGGAGAGAATGTTACCGATAAACATTTGAGAAGTAAATAATGTAAAAGTGGTAACAAATTGGTTGGAAAGCCCCTTGAGAAATCAATGTAAAAACTTACCAAAGAATTGCCTATCCTTTGCTCAGGTTTTCCAGGTTTAACCTTAGCTGTCAAAAGCTGATCTTCATTGCCTTCTTCTTCGTGCTGTTTGATCTCTTTTGTTTGACTATCAGCTCTGTTTTGAACGTTTCTGCTAATGATGTCCTCATTCAGATCATTATTTAGTTTGTCCATTGAATTGTCAAGTAAAGTCTCTACAGTAACTGTAACATTTTCAACTGGTTGAGTTTTATCTGATGTATCAACATAGTCCACATTTTGGTTCTTGCGAGTTTCCAATGCAACTCGTGTGCTATTTTCCACATCTTGGTCTTGATCTGTCTTTTCCACTTCTGGTCCATTTAGATGAGACTCTATGGGTTCTAAAGAATCACTTTTTTCTTCCTCATCTGCCTCTGTAACCATGGTAATTCTTCCTTCCACCTAGCAATGAATTTATGGAAAGTTAAATCAAAGGTGCCTAATAACTGCTTTCACTCATTGCAAAGTTATACATTAAGTGAATCTAAATCTCTGTGTACTTTTTATGACACCAAGCCTTGATGCAGTGATGTAATAGTTAGCACCCTTGGCCCAGTTGTTCAAAGGCCCATTAGTGCTAACCCAGGGTTAAATTTTAATCCCGGTTTCTATATTTCTTTGTTCAAAAGCAGTTTTGGAATGATTTTCTCAATTCTTTTTAAAACAATCGATCATCAAATTTTAGACAAATGGAATTACACTGAATTTTCTTATGAAGCTTTCAGATCTAAAATCAAATTTCACACTAACCCTGGGTTATCTTAATTAACCCATCTTTGAACAACCCAGCCCTGGACAGCAAATTAAAAGGCTATGTGACTACGTCATTAGGTTGCATTCTTGGGGCCCAGTCAAATTCAAATGCATACAATATTTCATCCCAACATCTTGCAACATTGTTATGCACAACATGTTGCACATGTTTGGCCAGTTCCTGTAGCAACATGTTACAAGATGTTGCAACATTGTGTTGGACCAAAATTGAAAATTGTCAAATTTTTGTTGCAACATTTTAGGATGTTGCAAGATGTTGCATGCATTTGGCCAGCTCCTTCACAACATGATTCAACATTACGGCAAGATGTTGCATTGCATTGTTGCATGCATTTGCCAGGGCCATTGGGGATGGTCGCACTTAACTCTCTATGTGCCTCTCTCCACCCAAGAGTATAAATGAGTAAAAGAAAACAATCAAGGAGATCTGATGAAATGCATGTAGGTAATCTGCAATGGACTGGCAATCCATCTAGTGGGAGTAGCACTACTTTTTGCTGGCTAATGCTAGGGAAACCTGGATATGCTCTTAGTGGTGTGCATGTTGAATCTACTATTAGGCTAAAACACCTACCTTGGGTGAAATGCTGATATGCTCTTTTTCCAGACTAATAAGAGATGATTTTTGATTTCCGTCATCAATTATTTCAGATGATCTATGCCGCCTGTTAAAGGATAAATTTAATTTCTATGAGTTTTTAATTCTTGCAAGTAATTTTTCATAGAAACTCAAAGAGGTTCCATAAGTCCAAATTTGAGCCAATCCAACAATTCCAAGAGACTTTGACTCAGCAAGAAAGTTATAATCTAAGGCAGGCGATAGCTTATTTCAATTGAACTTCAAGTTACCACAGGATAGATTTTTTCAATCATCTGTCTACCCTAGTTCTGCCCAAACAGTTGTTCTCACCAGCTGACTTGTTGAATTGCACCACAGCCATTATCTTTCACTTCATCACTGCTGATTAATGGGTCTTTACCTTGCCTGTTATTATCAATAGCCATATGTTATTTATCTTTTAACAATTTTACCAAATGTTTGAAATAATTATTATGAAAGAGTTTTAATGCCAATTATTTTCATCTGGTGATCTGGAAGAAAATGTTATTTGTTACAAATGAATGTAAAGTGCAATGTTTACATGGTGGTGGCAGGTTTAACTTAAATTTATTACCGTAACGGTTATTTCAGTTAAGTGACTTAATTCAAAACCTGTTATTACATTATCCTGGTCAAAAATAATTCATTGGCCTGGGTCACTCTGTTTATTTTTAGCAGTGCTGAGAAACTTTTCTTGAAATAAAGACATATTTAATTATATATTGTAAGTATTAATCTCATTAGAGCCTTCCAAGACCCTGCCTACTAATGAGGCAAGGTCTTCTTTATCTTCAATCAAATGATAAAGACATGTCAGTTTCTGATTCAAAGTTTCTGGTTCAAATTCCATACCCCAGTTTCCTGTTCAAGAACAGCCGAGGTCACAAAGCAAAATGTACTACACACTCTATGCTACACACCAAAACATCTAGTAAGATATATCTAAGTCAAAAGTCCATCACAAGCCATTACTTCTGTCTGCACCTGACCAAGGGGCCTCAACATACAACCTCTCTTTAATATAAACAGAAATGTGTTAATAAGTACTCACATAACTAAACTTTGTCTGTGAGAGGATTTTGATTTCGTGACACCTCTCACAATGTTGATAGAGCGAAAATGGTTCCTGACAATTGTGTTTAAAATTGGACCATCCTCTTCATCAACCTAGATGAAAATAATGAAGGTTCAAAAAATAAAAAATAACTTGAACAATTACTACCAATGATTGCAATCAAATTATGTAAAGGAGAGGTGCTGGGTTGAGAGGTATCCCAAGAAAAACTTAATCTTGACCATAATGGAATTTGAGGACTTATCTCTGTCAAGATTGGTTTGAAGTTTTCATTTTTTTTGCAAAATTGGTCAAGGAAAGGCTGAAATCTTGACAAATTGTAATGCCAAAACCTTCCACTCCCAAGAGTGATTGGCAATTTAATTTTTGGAACCTGTTTACTATGCAGTTCAACAGGGTAAGAGATGATAAGTAACAAAATTTTGGAGAAGAAAAGAAAAAAGAACTCTGGAGGATATGGTCGTAATAAGACCTTAAATTCTCAGGACCAGGTCCAGCAAATAAAGAAATGTAGGGAAATAGTCAAGAGTCTTTCAAGGTTTTGATCTTGTGCGCGAACATGTTAAACCATGTCCACTTGGCCACCACCTCATAAAATTTACCAAAAAAGAGATTTAAAAATTTATTTATTCTGATGGCACCAAAGATTATTATTATAACTGGCTACAAACAGGTTTAAGTTAACTTTCCTTTGCCTGTAATGCCAATGTCATCTAAAACAACCTTACAACAGTTTCAACAAAAAGTTATCATAGAGTAACATCCCTGTGTTCAAAATTTTCTCTCAAATCAATAATTAATTATTTGACGACTCATTCAAATAAAACTCACCAGAACTTTGCCCTTGCTAAATACTCGATAGCCATCTTTACCCTTTGCAAGATACGACTTTGTACATACTTTGTATCTCTAAGGATTTAAAAAACCCATTCTTCAATTTTGTCCTTCAGCAACAATGCAACTGTCAAGAATTGCAAATTCCGCAAAAGAAAAGTTGATGCTAACACGTTGTGCAGAACTCTGAGAGTGCATGAGGCGCATGTGCACCACATTCCCTAAGTTCCTCCATGTGCAATAACAACAAGTTTTCTATTTCTATTTTTTTTTAAAATTCCAATGGACTTTACTGAAAAGAACCCACCACTCAATCTGTGTCTATCACACAATGACCATATTGGATAAAAATCAATTTGCAATTACTTGAGTAATACATAAAAAGTAGGGATCTATAAACTGATGTTCCAAAGTCATGCTGACGCCATTGTCAAGGTAAATGTTTGGATGCAGACGAAATTACTGCAATAAATTTACATAATAAAGAATTCAAGATTAAATTACAGAAATACTTCAGCATGGATTAATTAGGTCGGATTGCACATTCAGAGTTGGTTTTAAAACCAGCTATGAAATTCACTTTGTATTGCTACTTTTTACACATTTCAACATTGATCTTCATTGATAAGAATATGTGCTTGTCATGAGTTACCAACCAATCAAGTCACATGTCCACATGTCACTGTTATTATCAAAAACTGGATCACTGGATAATGAAATTCAAGACTTTTTATTGGCTTAGCCGTTATGGTATATGAGCCCATATACCATAATCTAATATCTGTACATTGTAACATCCGGTTTCTTCTTACACAATAAAGTCGAGAAGATTTGTCTAATTTCTTAGGAGCGTTTTTTTTTTTTTAAATCAAACAATTATTCGACTCGCGCTTGTTGGATATGAGATGATTAAAGCCAACTCGGTGCTACGTGCCTCGTTGGCTATCTATCATCCCATATCCAATGCTCGCTCGTGGAATAATTGTTAATTAGACTACTCTCTTGATATTTAAAATTTCAGAAACATTTCACAATAAGATATGAACTCAGAGTTCCTCATACATGTCTGAAGTACACATCACCAACTCATATCGATATAAAAAGAATGAATTTATTCAGAAGTACTAGTTCAAACCTTATCTTTGACAAGTGGCTCATTGTCTATGCTCACAGAGTCCTCCAGTATTCTGCATCCAGGATCTTTGTCAGGGTTAAAGGAAAATTTCATTCCTGCCACCTAAGATAATAAAAAAAGAATATAAGAGCATTAATTAGCACCCGAGATTACAATAAGCAAATACTAATTGTAAAGTTACTATTATAATAGGGCTAAATAAATTTGGTTGAGACGACTCAATTTGGAAAGGCAGATGCATGAATCAAGCGGTACTAAGCACCCAATTTGCATCTTGGATGCATGGGTTCTGAATTATTTTGTTTTAGGCTATACCCAATGCAATAGGCCATTTTCGAATTATGTTTGGCTTCTTTTTCAAAACGAGGCCTGGTGCTCAACCATACGCATGAAAATGAGTTTAATTTGCATGTGAATGAAAACTTATTACCATATGAAAGGATGAACACCAGGACTCGCTTTGAAAAAGAGGCTAATGGCAATTCGGAAATGGGCAATTACTTAACCCTTTAACTGCCAGAAGTGATTAACATGTAACTTCTCTCAATAATATCCATACATTATCCAGTAAACAGGTAACGAGAATACTCAAACACATCAGGTAAAAGTTGTTATTTGATCTAACAACAAATTCTCGTGACTAAGTTACAAGAAAATGTATAGCAGCTAGAGAGGAGAATCAACAATCAGCTCTTAACTTGGGAGTTAAAGAATTAAAGTCATTTCAGTTCACCTGTAAGAATCATTTCTTTGATTTAAGTCAAAGCAGTTTTCAATTGACTGTTGAAAAACCAAAACCAAAGTAATCTCGATTACCAATCAGAATAAACATTAAACATCATCGTTGACCAATGAGAGCTCAAAGTAAAAACAAGTAACCTGCTTGCGACATGTGAAAACACAAGTGACAAATTAAAGTTAGCATTGGATTAAGTTTTGCATATGTAATGATTGGCTGAGATGATGGCACATCTTGACCAATCAAAGAGCATAACAAAGCATAACCAAAGCAATTCAGGGCCACTTTTGCATTTGAAAACTCTATCATCCACTACTAAAACTTAATACTTTTTTCATGCATTATTTTGTGAATTTTTTTAAGAATTATTATTTGGTCTTACTGACAATATCTATGTATCAAAGTTTAAATAATCAATTTCAACACACATTTCAAAAACAAAAGTAGTAACTATGGTGTTAATTAATACGTCATTTGAAATTTTGAATCAAATCAATAAAAATATATTCTACCAACCTGAGGAAATCTTCCTTCAAGTTTGGGCCACTGACTGACCCCATTTTCTAGTGCCTCTAAGATCTGATCACCTAAAACAAAGGCTCTTTTTCATAAATCCATATTTACCTGTAACTGTCTCTGTCATTGCATGCACTATATAATATGAAAGCAACAGATTTTGAACAAACAAAACTACAAATAAGGTTGTCAAAACAGTGGTCTCTCTCTCTAACAACATCCCTTTACAAGACAGAAGATCACCCAACGTTATAAAAAAATCATGATTTTACTTTCGCAGAGCTGACATACCTGTCAATTCAAGCACCACCAACACATCAGGCATGGGAAGGATGGCTGAGAGGTCCTGAAAATACATAGCAGGGCCTTTAGTAGGAAATGAAGTTACAAAAAAATGGTATTAAGGTTGTGGCAAACCCAAACACATGAGCCTTCTTCACAGACTAAACAGACGGTGGTGACCAGCTCTTGTGGAAACTACTGACTGACACCCTATACACATCAGTTGTTGGTCACCACACCAGCTAACCTAACAGCATTTGGCTGGGTTTTCCCAGTACAAACATTGCTCCCACTATAACTACATGGTACATGGTCAAACAAGACTTTTCATCCTAAGAAAATATCAACACTGGCACCTTCATTTTGAACTTTCCAGGGGGATGAATGGTATCTGATCGGAGGGTGCCAGAATTGAGGATAACACAGTCCACTTCAGTAACATTTTGTATGATATCTGTTATAAAGTTTCCTGTGGTGCATCAGAAAATAAAAAGAAAGAAATGCTATCATTAGTTATTCTTAGGAGTTTTAAATCTGTTGCAAGTAATGTACAGAAGGTAATCTACTGTACCTTAGAATGTCTTGGAGAATAGTTTGTGGATTGTAAGTAAAGTATTAGTGTTGTAATTGAAGTACAATTTTTCAAAAAACTCATTTCTTTATCTAAGTTTTATTTGATAATCTACACCATACTCGGAAATTTACATCAAATGTAAGACACTGGAACTTTAAACTATTAAGTTTCTGTGTCAAACTATTTACAAATGATTTGCCATAATGGTTTCCAGTGATTTATAACTTACAATAAAATTTTGAAATAAATGTGTCCTTCAGATAAACTAAATATCACTATGTAGAAACGAGTTAATGGTGAACTTTGAAACTATGTACGAAGTTTAAAAGCGTGTCCTTGAAGGAACAAGATACATGTACTTTCACTAAAAATAAGACAAGATGGCAAACAAGCAACTCACCCAGATTGGTCTCCTTTGTTCTCATACTGGAAAACCTTCCATCAAGCTCCAGTTGCACTTCACCAATGACTTCCTCCATCAAGTTGTTCATCTCCCCTAATTAAATTTAAATATTTCAGCGCTGCATTTTCATACCAAAGCAAGGTCAAACAGATCTCATCTCTAATAGATGGGCTTTTAACAGCACCATGCAGTTTGAACTCTAGAATTCACACAATTAATTTCAATAAAATGCATTATAACATCCGAATTCATACATGTGAGTGTGCCTGCATGGAAACCAAACTCTCAGGAGGTACCCATGACACATGCATGTAAACTTACAAAATCAAGTTAAGTGTCTAGTCCTCTGAGATGGTGCCAGTCAAAAAAACACTGATGGCTTTAAAATAATACAATCTACATACAATACAATACTTTATTCAAGAGAAGAAAATCAAAATTTACAAAACTATCTCTCAAAGGGGATGTCTAGAGGTCAACCCTATATAAAAGATTCCCCGAAATAACGAAATGAAAAGGTAAACAAAAAAATTAAAAACTATCTACCAGCTTCTCAATCAATATTCACGTAAATCCTTAATCTGTTACAAAATGAAGTCAATGAACCTGCGTGTACAATATCTTTAGGTAAATTATTCCACATATTAATGATCCGTACAAAGAAAGAAAATTAATAGCAGTTTAGAATGGCTGCTTTTATGTAGAGCTTAGAATCGTGGTTGGCTCTAGTTTGATTACATTTAGTAATTACTTAATAGATGTTTTCAGGAGAAAGTAATTAACTTACCAACATATTTATCAACAGTGGATTTTACTTCTGTGTCTTCTGGTATATCACTTGTGATTTCTATTCTTTGAACTTCTATTGAAAAAGAATTGTTGCTGCTACTTCTGTTGTTGTTGTCCTCAAAGGTGACAGTAATTATACTAAATTCTCTGAAGTCTGTTCCACTCTTGATGACATGAATGCCATTGATCTAAGAGATACAAGAAAATGTAACTAATTATTTCTGACATTCAATGCACTTAGCATTTGTAAATGCCTGTGAGATGAGTACCCAAACCATGCTTTTTATAAAACCCTTATAAGAAAGTCAAGTGCATGACCATAAAGCAGGACACTTGAAAAATGAAAAGAAAAGAAAGACCCAATTAGCCTTGAATAAAATATTTTGGTGTTATCAACTAAGTTGATACTTAAAATGGGCCACTGTGGAGTCTCTTATTAATATAAGTTGACATTTTGAGCTTTATGGCCATTTGTCAGCTTAGAAAAGAAATGTGCACACACTTCCTAAAAACAAACCCCCTGCCTCATAAGTCCAAGGGTACAAAGTAGCAACTCTAGACTACTTTTATGGCAAGAAACAAAAAAGACAAAAAAAAAACAAAAAACAAAAAACAAAAAACAAACCAAACTAATCCAAACAGTAATTTGGCTCTTGGGTCCATATATTGTGACCTCAGGCCAAATCTTTTACTATAGATCCAACCTTTCCACTCATGCAGTCAATGAGTTGATACATTTTATTGACACAAGTATAAAAGGAATAGGGTTTTAAACCTTCTCAGCAAAGTAATCATGATCATGACCACCCAAAATAAGATCTATGCCAGTCACTTGCTCTGCCAGACGACGATCATTTGGTTCTCGCATGTGAGTCAAGGCTACAACAAACTCTGCTCCCTAGGGATGGAAATATTTCTTTTGAGAAACCTTGTTTCAAAGTGATATTAACCTGATGCATTGTTACCAATAAAAAAGTGATGATAACCAATTGGAGATTGAGTCACAGGGAGAATCATATGGTCCATTAAAGCCCTCTTTATTTCTTTCAGTACCACTTAAGGTTACCGTGCACCTTCAGGGGTGTCTCGTGTCCAAGCAGTGTAGTGCGTCTGGTTTAAACTGTAGATATCTAAACCCCTATATCAAATTAAAGCTTATAGGACCGGCTATCAGACTATACCAAAAATTTTGAAAAAAAAATTAATTGTCGAATTTTTCACGACTTCTAAATGTGAGCACCCAAATCACCTTTTGAACATTACATGTTAATGCAAATTTGGTTTTCCACCTATTTAATGTGTTCCTCCGTTTCCGGGGCCAAAGCGCTTAAAAATATGGCGTCCCATCGGCGCCAAAATTCAACATTGCAATTTGACATTGTACTTTTAGTATTCTTCCTTATTTCAAGATTGGACATTCAAGTTTTTATTCCTTATGAAACTTTTTCTGATTCAACATTGTCTTTTTTACAATTAAACTTCCAAGTTTCAAGTATTAAACATAACGATTGTACTTCTCATAATTCCACTTTGTAGTTGTGGCAATGCAATATTTTTGTACTTATGGTATTGATATATTCAACATGCAGTACTTCGCGCTATTCAACATTCAACTTTCCATCATCCAACTGCAACCCAGCTATTAACGAAGGAGCGCAGGCTCACTAAGGTCAAGTACCTCATGTATGCCTCATAACTTCGTATGAGGTTATCTTGTGAGATGAAAAATGGACGATAACTCGTATTTGCTGGACTGTGTTCATAATATCCTAGCTTAAACAATAGTATGTACCTGACACACTTAGTCCATATGACATCATTCTTCTCTTAACTGTTTTACAACTTACTCCAAGCATAGTAACAATCTCTTGCAATTTAAAACCTTGTTCAATTAAATATGAGAGCTGTTCTTTGCTTATTACGTACGAGGATTGTCCACATCTACCATCTTGTTACACACTGGTGCTATAACCTCCATAAGAATTCTCAGTTCTTTTGATTTCTACCAGCAAACTATGAGCCCTTCCCATATGGTTTCTGTTATGAAATCATTGATGTCTAGATTTACCAACATCCTTAGCAAAAGATCTACTTGACCAACAAGAAGCTGAACATTTCCAGGACTGTGATGTACACCTTGAACATTATTTAAAATGTCTAGGATATTATGAACACAGTCCAGCAAATACGAGTTATCGTCCATTTTTCATCTCACAAGATAACCTCATATGAAGTTATGAGGCTTACATGAGGTACTTGACCTTAGTGAGCCTGCGCTCCTTCGTTAATAGCTGGGTTGCAGTTGGATGATGGAAAGTTGAATGTTGAATAGTGCGAAGTACTGCATGTTGAATATATCAATACCATAAGTACAAAAATATTGCATTGCCACAACTACAAAGTGGGATTACGAGGAGTACAATGTTTAATACTTGAAACCTGGAAGTTTAATTGTAAAAAAGACAATGCTGAATCGGAAAAAGTTTCATAAGGAATAAAAACTTGAATGTCCAATTGCAAAATGAGGAAGAATACTAAAAGTACAATGTCAAATCGCAATGTTGAATTTTGGCCCCGATGGGATGCCATAAAAAAAACATGTCTGCGATTTGCCATATTCAATTTCAGTGAAAAGTTACAGAACATTTTTGAGATAGGATTAAAAAAATGTGGAGTGATCGTACAAAAATCGCTCTCGAAAAAAAAAGTATTAAGAAATAAAAAATTCGGAGACACGTTTTTGTTGTTTATATGTAAAACTAGCTACTGTCAAAGTTTGAGAGCAATGAAACAAATCCCCTTTAACTTGTAGCTCTTAAAAGGTGATTTGGGTGCTCGCATTTAGAAGTTGTGAAATATTAGACAATTTTTTTTCAAAATTTTTGGTATAGTCTTATAGCCAGTCCTATAAGCTTTAATTTGATATAGGGGTTTAGATATCTACAGTTTAAACTGGACGCGCTACATCGCTTGCACCTGAGACACCCCTGAAGGTGCACGGTAACCTTAATTACTATTGATAAAAATATTCTTATGGTTGACCCCTCAATCAACAACATCATTGAAACAATTTTCCAGAAATAAATTTAAAGGACTTTTCCAAGACTTTTCCGTAACTCAGATTGATTTTTCTAGGACTTCAATTATTTCACTGTCCTTAAACTCTTTCATTCCCAAGATTTCATTCGCAAGATTTCAAAATCAATTCTCCTTACAGTTTACCTACATTTCTTACAGTGTTAATTCTGAAAGCTTTAATGCTTGAGTTAAGCAGATTTCCAGGACTTTTCAGGACCTAGTGCAGTCTTTTTGCAGGGCTTTCCAGAACCAGGAAAATGTCAAAATAAAATTAAAGAACTTTCCAAGTTTTCCAAGTCGACCCATAAGAACTCTGTCTCAAGGACCATGAGTTATAAGGAAACTACTCTCTCTTCTTAAGACTGAGATGGTTTTGCACTGTGCAGACTACAAGGCTAACTTTTTTGCATATGAAAACCATTAAATCTGAAGGATTTAACAGGTAAGAAAGTTGCCCTTGCAAAGAAGCTACTCACCTCTTGTCTTAGTTCTTTTGCTAATTTTGTGCCTTCTGTTACAAAATCAAAGTAGGTGACTTCTTCCCTGTCAACTGTTGCCAAGGTAACAAGCCACTCTTCTTCCACTAAGCCAATAAAACCAATCTAAACCAAACAGGGAAGATTAATTCAGACACATTTTGATTGAGTGTCTCAAATCCAAAAAGCTAGCTGGTTATCACAATAGCTAATTAGAACAAATAGAACCATCTCAAGGAACCAAATTAATGTGACCTTGAATGGAAAAAAGCAAACTGCTTGAGGTGCTGGAAAATTTCAGAGACAAAGTTACAATTGGTGTAAGCATTGCATCTGACTGGCTGAAAACATGGAGAAATAACGGAACAAAGTTGAGCAAAACCAAATTGAATGTAAGAAAATTTAGTCTTATCAATTGAGATGATAATGTAACTTGGCCATTGTAAAGATTCTCTAAAGGGAATGTCATGGCTTACACACAAAACTGCAGCTATAGAAAATCTGTGTGGTGGCTGATTTACATGATCGACTCAGTTTATAAAACCAAATTTCAGTCTTACATTCAATTTGGTGTAGCTCAACTTTCAACTTTGTTCTATTATTCTCCCACCCTTCCCCCCTTAACACAACACCACAGTTTCTTTAGAAATTTATACTCTCTTTCTTCAAAATGAAGGTAGTTCAGGATTATAATTATCATCAAACAGTTGAAACAACCTGTTTATAACCAACCTTTTTTTCTCTCCACTCTATTATATGCTTGATTATACCACCAGCAAGCTGTTTACCAGTCACATTGTCAATCACATTGCTGAGAAGCCACGGACAATTGGTAGCAGCACTAAACTCCATCAACTCGTCAACACCAAAATCTGAAAAAATTGACAAATTCATTCATGAAATGATTGATGCACAAAAGAGCTGTAGCCCATGAGCTTTAGTCACCATCTACAGATACCACCAAGAAGATATGAGACTTGAATTGTCAACTGTAAAAAAAAATTCTTCGGTAGAATTTTAAATAATTAAAAAAATATGAACTCAAGAGCTAACACTGGAAACATCAGCTTGAAACTCTTTGTTGTGGCCAATTTACATTAATTTTTTGTATCAACTCAGTTGATAAAAATCAAAACTATCTTGTTACTCCAACCAATGCAGCACCACAGTTTCTTCAGAAACTTACCCCCTTAAATATATCCTGACCAGTGGAAAAATATTTAACTGGACAAAAACAAACGGCAAAAAAAAAATAGCCAACTGACAGCCAACAAATAATACACCAACATTGATCAGTTAAAGCTTCTGCATGGACAGTAGGAGGGCATTATATTGTATGGTCTCTGAATGGACAGTGTGTGTAAAGTGAGTATAGCATCCGTGTTAACTGCATGTAGTGCAAGCAAATCACACACAGTAATAGTGCAATCCCACCAGAAGGTCAGATAAAAAACATTAAAATCTATAATAGGACTATTCCACATAACACTTACCAAAGTCGTGATTTCCAAACACAGCCACATGGACATTCAGTGCATTCAGAATTGGGATCATTTGTTTGCCACCAGTCACACTACTCACTAATAATTATGAGAAAAAAAGGTAAGAGTTTAAATTCTCTCAACAAACAAAGTTAGCTGCATTCTTAACTTTTGGGATTACATGGCCAATAAAGCTGCAACTGTTTGGTAACCGTTTTTTTATGGACTGTTTACGCTTAAGTTTTGCATTGTTACAAAGCTTGATAGAGTGGAAGTAATAAAATGTAATGGAAATGTCAACCATAAATGACTAGCAGAAGCCTGGTCTTAGGAAGGGGGCTGTGGATTTTAGGAGCCAGGTCTGAAATAAGATAATTTGGTTTTATCCAGCAACTGAATAGATAAATGTAAATTGGCCACTGCAAAGAGTTTCTAAAGCTAATTTTTCAAGGGTTAGCCCTTCATCAGTGCAAATGGATGAATGAATAACCCTCAAAATGTCAGCTTTAGGAAATCTTTAATGTAGCCAGTTTATATTATCAACTCAGTCCATAAAACCAAATTATTTAGTAAATAAACCCATTTGGGTGGCTGGTATGTTGGCTGATAATGTCCGCGGCTGAGTGATTGTCTGAAAAATGAATATTTGGCCGAGAAGCAAAGCTTCTAGGGCAAATATGAAATTTTGAGGACAATCTCTCAGCCAAGGACATTATTAGCCGACATACCAGCGAGCCAGAATGGGTTTTATTTATTTTATAACCCTCCCATTAATTTTCACATCGCAATTAAACTGCGCATAAACATAGTAAAAAAGCCAGTGGTAATCTGATGGCGAATGGGCGTGATTGATGCAAGCAAGCAAGCAAAAAAAAATGAGTTTGGTTTCCTTCCATGTAAATAGGAGAACAGAAAAGTTGAAACTCTCGTGTTGACTATGTTTCTTTTTCACGAAAAAAATCGGAGGACAAATATCGACGTGGATGAGGGTTATTGCTTGATAACTGTCCTGTGATTTTGCACCACGGGAAGTAAAGTAACCAATAAAATAGTGCCAAAATTAATGGGTGGGTTATAACTTGTGATACCTGCCACCAACACAGCACTACAGTTTCTTTAGAAATTTACCCCCTTTATTGCTCTGAAATAAGGAAATAAGACAGATATATTTTAGTCAAAAATAGTGTTGCAACCTTGGAACTGTGTTGCAAACCTCTAGCAAGATTTCTGAGTAGTAACAAATTGACATAAGACTGCTCTTCTCTGCACCCTACCCTTCTCTGCACTCTACCCCTGGTGGGTGAAGGTGTGGCACACCAATGGTGTCCAAGATGGCAATCCCCGAATTTCCCTTTTTGATCCCTTTGGTGGCCCAAGGTATTGTATTTGTTACGATATATGCCCTGACTGACAGCCGTATCATCTACAAACGGTTACCCTAAGGCAGCGGTGCATTTGGTAAACGAAAAGCGAGCAACTCTGGCACCTGTCAGGAAATGGAGCCATTACCTGTCAAACGCTGCCTTGTTTAAAGTTAGTACACGGTGACGCTTAATTGCGTGTATACTCACTTGTTGAAGGATTTAAACAATCCCCGCTGAACGCAATTAATGGGTTCAAATGTTTAAAACTTGCTACTTTGGTGGCAAACCGAGCTGCACCACCAACCGGCTCCTTGTCCCGTGGCTCGATGTTGTAGACATCATTGAAATGCAAAATGGTCACCTGTTTTGACTTGGTTGCTGTTTTTGTCCCATCACAGTTGTCTCGCTGCTCAGCTGACTTCACACTGGTTCTGACTACTTTTGTGTCTTGAGAGACACCATCAGATGGCTTTTCTGAATTTTTTTCGCAAGTGGCAGGTTGAAAATTGGAAGTGCCTCCATCTATCGCTGGCGGTTGTGAGTGACTGTTTACATCACCCGGTATGTTTTCCAATTTACTCGAGCCACAACCCATTTCCTTCGCGTTAAAAAAGACAGCGATGTTGTTATCTGTGTCAGAAAACCCAATCTTCCAGGGAAGACTCCATCCTTGAGCCTCCAGAGTATTTTTACTTTCTCTGGGACACCAGAAGATTTTCCTGAAACGTGACTTCCTACTTTTGAGAGAAACGTTGTTCAGAGCTGTCACTCATAGTTGTGTTTCTATAACAACAACCTGTTGAAAGGCAAGGAAGGTGACATGATCGAACCTGGACTGGACTAAGGTCTGATCAAATTGATTTCTCCTATAGACATAGCAATTGAAACTGTCGTAAATTATTTCTATGAATTATTGCTGTTACGCAAAAAGCACCACTGGTCTAACACAAGTACACCACAGAAAAGCCATACAGATAAGCTAGAATTTTTGTAGCTTGTGCGTGAATGTTGTTTTGTGAGTTCTCATCAGAACCTAAGAGAGACCTAAGATCTTAAAAACATCATAAAACAGAAAAATTATCCTCATACGAAACAAAACTACTTTGGGATAGAAAGAAAATCAAAGAACTGTTGCACGATTGACAATCAAAATTCAATAATGACAAAACTTTCGTTTTGATCCTCGTAACGTGTAAATAATTGACAGCTATTCTTTACTAAAGAATGTCGATGAGCCATGCAACTATACTTTTGATAATATATCACAGCAACAACTGAAAAGATTTGCTCAAGCGGAATCCAAATCCAAACTGGAGTCTGAGCTGGTTAAAGAACGCAATGGCCAGTCTGAGCTAAGTATCATTATTCTGACTTCTTTTGGCAAAATGACAAAACTGAATGTTATCTCAAAGATTCAAAAAGTTTTATCATTATCGTGTCCATCATCATAACAATGACAAAAGTCGCCGGATGCGTTTCTTGTTTTCTGTGATAAAACCAGCCCATACTTACAATTTTAATTGTTAATATCAAATATTTCACAGCACGCAAAACACTCCATGATAGAGATACCGTCCCAAACCTTTAAAAGCGTTTAAGGAACTGAACCCGTGCGATCATTTAGCACACACAAAACCATAAAGTACGGTGGCCCAGAAGGCTCAACGCAAACGAAAAATATACTGCAGCAAGTAAAAAATATACTGCAGCAAATAAAAAATATACTGCAGCAACTAAAAAATATACTGCAGCAAATAAAAAAATCAAAACGCAAAGAAAAAAAGTACCGCAGCAAATAAAAAATGCAACGCAAACAAAAAATACTGCAGCAAATAAAATATGCAACGCAAACAAAAAAAAAAGAAAACGCAAACAAAAAAAATTGGAACGCAACGCCAAGGAAGACTGGGTAATAGTTCTTAGTTTCCCGCCAACACTCGTTCCATCCTTTGCTTGTTCACCTTTCCGAAACCATGTTTTGCAGCGAACTTATGACAGTACCATGCTGCTCCTTTAAAAAATCGATAATAACTCTATTTTCATACCCTTGATGAAAGTAATCTTCTATAATCCTACGCAGATCGCTTTCGTCCATAGCCAAAAGCGAGTTCCAGTTCATGCTGTTTTGGCGGGAAACTAAGAACTATTACGCAATTTTTTTTGTTTGCGTTTTCTTTTTTTTTTGTTTGCGTTGCATATTTTATTTGCTGCAGTATTTTTTGTTTGCGTTGCATTTTTTTATTTGCTGCGGTACTTTTTTTCTTTGCGTTCTGATTTTTTTATTTGCTGCAGTATATTTTTATTTGCTGCAGTATATTTTTATTTGCTGCAGTATATTTTTATTTGCTGCAGTATAATTTTTATTTGCTGCTGTATATTTTTTRTTTGCGTTGAGCCTTCTGGGCCACCGTAATAAAGTGTTCACAAGACTGCCCACCACAATAAAGGCTAAATGCGAAAATGAACACTGAAGTTTCCATGACAACTGATTTGAACGACGGACGCTAGCGCAAGCGCAGAGTCCTCATATACAAACATTCTGAAATTTCAAAATGGCGCCTGGCAGTAAGAAGCAGAAAAAAGCGAAGTCAAAAAAATCTAAGGATAGCCCGTCTGGATTGGTAAGCAAAAGTTTTTCTGCTTCTTCCCGTGAAAAATATGATCGTGAAAAGTTGATTCTTTTTTTTTTTGTTTATTTTAGAGTCGTATCGCTTCTACTCTTGTACCAAGCGCCATTTTTGCAGCAGTACCGAGAACATCATCTGGTTTATCGCAAACATGGCCGCGTAGATCCCCATCTCCAATCGCACAGGCAGTAGGTGAAGCAGGAAACGTCGGAAGGGTCTTAATTGGTGATCTTTCCAAACGTCCGCCGGCGGAGTTACCTCCAATTCCAGGAAAAAACGGCGATGAACGCAGCACATCAGCTGATCAACAGGCCAACGAACACGATCGTGACGAAAGGATCAGGGAAGATTGGGAGGATGACTATGAAAGCGTTCATGACAGCAAAAAGTTTGACAAGACTACAAAATACCTCAGAATGGCCAAGGAGGGTACTTTGGCCTTAAATGCGGAGATGGAAGGAGCAATTGCCGAAGACGGTGGTGATCCATCACAGCATCTCTACCATGTCTTGGATCATGATAATGGCGAGATCGTTGAACCTGAATATTCGACAGTTGACAAGAGGAAAAAGAGTGCTGCAAAACAATCTGCTGATGGAGACAAAGAAGAGGTAAGAGATGAAGTCTGTCCAGATTAATATCAATTTTTCTTGCATGTTACATTCCAAATACGTTAAGTTTTTACTGCAAGCAGCATATTAACGTTTTGAATTTTTTCATATCTTTGTGATGACGTCACGTGCCGGTTTAAACTCAGTTGCTGTCTGGAGCTGTCATAATTTTTATGCTCAATGCAATAAATACATCAAAGGCAACTTGAAGACTGCACTGAGATCTGTTGAAACAAAGTACTAGCATATTAAAATTAACCTTTGTAGTCATTGTTAACTATCTCTAGTTAAAACAAATGCCACATTCCAAATTTAATTTTTTTAAAACAAGCTAATTTGAAATTTCCCTGAGTCTTTCAGGTCTTTTTACATGAAAACTATTAAATTTTGTTGAATAAAGGCTGATAGTTTCTAAAGAAACTGTTTGGGGCTGTGTCAGTGGGAGTAATGAAATAATTTGGATATATCAACAAAGTTGAAATGGTAAATTGGCCACCGTAACGATTACAAAAGCTGACGTTTCGAGCGTTAGTCCTTCGTCGGAGCGAAACATCAGCTTTTGTATTCATTACGGTGGCCAATTTA